TACAAGGAAATCATCCGTCTCATCAGCTAACTCCAAGAGCTCTTCTTTTTTCTGTGCCTCTAGGTCTTCGCGCTATTTAACTACTTACGAAAACAGAACTCTTACATAGGAACGACAAGTAAGTGAGCATGCGGCGGCCAACTCAGCAAGAGCTTGTTCTTTTTGTGCCTTCTTTACAGCTTCTGAGCGTTTGAAATCCCTAAAATCCTCGAGAACGCCCTTGGGTCCAGTCTAGCAATATTATAAGGTTTAGGCACATACTCTGTACCCGGATGCTGTTCGATCCTCGGACGAAGATGGCTCAATGACACTAGACGAAATTTTATCATCATCAGACATTTCTCCAGCATTATCTGAGGCTTCATCATCACTACTACTACTACTGCAATAGTTATGAACTTTTTCCCCCAACAGCTTATCATCAAGCGACAAGGCCATAGTAGAGATTGTCGCAAGCACAAATAAAAATTCAATATATATCTTTTTAAATGCATAAATATAAAACAAAATATAAAATAGTAAACAAAAAAGGTACATATTAATTGTTTTAACTTTTAGTCTAATGGGCGGGTCTTGCGGCTCGTCAAAGGCATGAACCTAACTCCTCCTCCCGCCTGGGCCTACTTTCCTATAGAGAGCGAAATAGCTATTACTGGCGGCGTTTGTATCTCTCAAGATGATCGGATTGCAATATTGCTAGCAGAAAAAGTCCTTATCCTTGTACGTTATTGCTAGGATTGAATCTAATTTTTTGCTTGCTTATTTCGCTTACTTGACGCACTTCTCTTGGATTTTCATTATAATTCATCATTTTATTATAAAGAACCCAGATTTAACCTTTGACGATCCTGGAGACATTTTACCATGCCAAAGTGAAGCTTTAGTCGTGCACAATGTAAAGCCAGCTCGCTTAGTTTATTTGAAGGATGATGCGATTCGCAGGCCGTTGATCAATAGAGGTTTGTAATTGCCTATAATTCACTAACTTTTATACTAGTAGGAAGTCGTTTTATATTCTTTTTATTATATAACTTCCTCTGGCTATCCGTTATTTGTTTACACAAAGATTAAATAAGATAGCATGCACTAAACCAGCATTAATTCGTTAAGGACATTTCATAGACATTGAAATGTTCATAAATTATAGATCTTAATTGCGTTGTGATTCTTTATTATTCTTGTAAATACAATCGATTTATCTATCTTTCTCCAATACCTATCTTTTACTAGATCTTTCACATTCCGAAAATGCAAACCGATTACTTATGTTTTCGTTTATGGGCAATAGTAATGATATTTATATACCTAAGTATGGATGCCGCAATGCTGATTGGAGCCCCCGAGGCGTCGACAAAATTGGCCGGTAGGCATAAAATCTTTCGCTATCTCTTTCGAGTAATCTCCATCAACAACATTTATTTTTATTCTCCAGCTGTATTCTTTCTCTTGTCACAATGGAGAGTCGGTTTGCAATTTATGCTCTTAACACGCAAGATAAATGGGATGAGGTAAGTTAATTTAGTCTGTATATTGGGTTTGTTTGATTGCAACGGTT